ATATGAATATGTTATAGAGTAGTATAAACTATAAATCAGAAGAGGATTGAAGGATTTAACCTATCTAACTTAATGTAAGTATACTTATATCTTACTAAAATCAGTACCTAGCAACTATTATCATATATTATTATGTATAGTAGTGTCATTAGCATTATATTATATTCATGACGAGTAGCTATACCATATCATATAATATAATTGTTAATAATATCTATATATAATACAATACACATAGACATATTATGTTATTATGTTATAAGTATCATTACTGGGTATGGACATAGACAGAGTGTTAACGGACTCCAACTAACAAACGCGCACGCACTATAAAGTTCAGCGACTTCTATCGAAATAATATACAATTTTTTTTTCATGCTAATGGGCCTCTTTGTAAATCACATAGTCGATTTAAAAAAAAAAAAAAACATCAACTCGTGTTTACACCGTGTCATTGAGTATAGTATATATAGGTATACCATAATGTATATACGTGTATATAATATTATGCATTAATTATTCATAAATGCGCGGAACGACACACACACTAACACTTCGCCGTGTAGTTGCATGCAGCACTTGAACCTCACAAAAGCATTCATGCATTATACATGTGACATCGGTTCGTCTAGATGTTGATAACATTATTATACTGCAGAGGTCATTATTATCAACACAATTCGAACACTTTGTTGAATCTCCGTCTGACGTGTATGTATATATAATTATAATATATAATATTATGTAGGTACTTCTGAAGCACTGTAGTCTGTAAAGTTTGCATAATAATATTATATGTACATAATAGCATGTGAATATGTGATACTAAATAAGTAGTAGGGAAATTAGACCTATATACAGAGGTGTTCCTATTAATTTTTTCGAGAGTATACGAAATTATCAAATATAAACATTTAATACAATAAAAATATTTTTCTTATGGTTTATATGAGTAAAGCCGGTAAAGAGCGTGTCAATCTCAATAATATGGAAAAAATTGTATAACAGATTTTATATAATATATATCATCTTTATATAACGTATATTTCTCCAATCTTTACAAATATTAAAAAGATTTAAAGATTAAGAAATACATTGGTAAGAACCATTTCAGGCTATACCTATATATGC